TGAGAGATAAACTGAGATAATACTCGTACTTAAGTCTTATGGACGGAAGCGAAAGATAATGTTAGCGTGAATTAGCAACTGTTGCCTCTCTCATAATTCGAACTGGCGCTACGCCATGATCACTGAAGTTAGAACAAAGAGCCAGCTGATAATAGGAGTGTAGCTAAGAACATCTGATACAACTAGAATCTTCTATATGTATATATTACGTTGCTGCTACATACGCATTTTATTATAAGTAGATAAGTTTATGTAGGTACACAAACATATGTCAAAGAATATGATTGGAGTAATAGAATATATATATATATATAAACAAACGTTACGTAACAAAATAAGGTAAGAAAGTAAAAATTAAGTACGATTTATGTTAACAATTTACAACTAATTTAATAACGACTGATAAATTAGATAAAACGCCAATAAACATGAAAATATGATATAATAATGATAGCTTTGGAGAATATGGACGGAAAATTCATTTTGCTGTGTCAGCATAAAGAATTAAACGAAGTCGATAATAGCTGATAAAACGCTGATAATAAATACTAGTGGCAGATATTATATCACACATACAAGAGAGCTAATCCTGTTCTTCTTATATTTTGTTTCAGATGTTTCAAATGAAAAAAAGGTTGGTAAACAAACAAATCGTAAGTAATATTGTATTATTCGATAAATAAAACACACAAATGAATATCTTTCTCATTCTTTGGTTATTTATGAATTTTGACATTTCCTGATTAATAAATTTCATTGAATACAAAGTTGCGATTTATTAGCTAGCAGGATTAAAACGCTCGATTTGGTGATGCTGCTCATGCTGTCAGTAGGTATAATTCGAAAAGTGGCTGTATCATGCAAGAATACTGGCATAGTTCACATCTAAAACTGGAATCGTCGGCGACACGTGCACGTAGACATCTCGGCGTCAAAACTTGGCGCATTATGTTAGAAATTTAACGTGACAACAAAGCAGGCGTTACTATAAAAATATTATTGAGTATCGGGAAATGTTATAGGTGAAGTATACTTGATCCATTTGACATTACGTTCATAAATACACGATAACACAGTGTTATATGTCTATGAATAGTATTCGATTTTAAATTATAATTTAAATCATACGCTCAAAGAATGAAGCATATTTAAAAGCTGCGTCACATTATTCTGGAATGTGCATGATTTTGAATGAATTGTCGGCCAATGTACGAAGTAACAGACACGAATAAAATTCATAAAAGCTCTTAGAATATAACGAATTATACAATTTTTTACTAAAGAAAAATTAAAATATACTTGGAAATATTTATAAAAGATTGAAGACGTAAGTAAGCCCTTTGAAATAGAGCAAGAATACATTGAGAACAAATTATATTCCCAGCGAAGAATATTGATAATGATAGAAAATGCTGACTGAGTTGATGCACTTATTCACTTATGTGCATCGTGATCGACGCATTATATATTTTTAATGTCAATATTGATAAATCAAATTCTTATATAAAACCAACTATAATATCGGATGTGTGTGTATATTAGATTCCACGGATGCTAACTAGTACAAACTAGGTTGAAACTAGATTGAAGTGAATTATTAATCTATATCCACTATTTTTGGACTTTAAACTATATATTGACAGAGTTTTTAGGAGAAAACATTTATTTTAAAAAGTCATCGAAAAAATGCAAATATAGTTAAGAGACTTTTTTCCAATCGGATTGATGGCGCCGGTACATTGCAAAGAAACTGAGCTATATTGAAAAATAACGTAATCTATATGGACAATTTCCTTTTGCTTTTTTTATAATTATCATAATTTAAGTTTGAACACCTCGTATTTTGAAATTCTAAAAATGTTATATTTCGCACATTAAGTGTTTCCTTTGAAATAATAGCTTACAAAATTAATGTTATGCAAGCTATTTTAATGATTGTAACAATAAGATTATTATAAAATATTGAAAGATTTACCTATGTCTTATTAATTAAACACGTGTCCGTGACTAAAATATAAGCATGTCCGTAGTATTGAAAAAGTAACTTATGACTCTGAGTTTAGTGCAGGTCTATAGGGAGATTAGATTACTCGGAATTGTGGCTAGATATAGATATATACATTATACACATAAAAAATTAAAGCTTCACTAAAAGATGAATTACCAAATGAACTAACAGAAAATGAATAATAGACTACCGCTCATTAATCAATACACCCTCAGTTTTCACAATAGCACAATACAAAGCGAACAATGCTATCGGATTTCCATTGCCTATAGGTGCGTTCGCTTTAAGCGTTCACGCGCTGTAAGCTTCATTCTACCTTCCTTCCGCACATAGTGAGCGATAAAGATAAAATGATGCTTGCATGCTTACAGCGCGTGAATGCCAGAATCGAACGCAGTTTATGTATTAACAAATTAACTTCAAAACAGTATTAAGCATGTATCTGATGTCATTGATTACGTTTACACTGTGTATTTAGGCTGCAGCCTATATTTCAATTCGATTTTCAGTTATTTAGGCTCCTAGGTGTAAACAGTTAGTAGATGATCTATAATTTCAATAATTCTGACAATAATAAAACGTTTCTGATAGTTTGAAATGAAATTTAAACAAGACCGAAAATCGGCCTTATGAAGATTCCTCTTTTCTACTGATTGTCGATTGTAATATGTTTCTCACGAAAAGTATTTTTCTTTGCGTTACTATTCGGTATTTTCGACTTTTAAGTTCTTCGACGTTTTAAGATTCTGCAGTGCACCTTGAGAATATACATGTCTTCTCGCACCAATGTCATTTCCAATTCTTCGGAAGTATTTCGTTTCTGTATCCTTATTTTTGTATTCTTTGTACACTCGACTGTATATATTCTGCCCTGGACAATATATTATCGCATGCATACGTACGATAATCTCTGCATTCTATCACGTAGAAATACAATAAATTGTCCGCGAGGATCATCAAACCAAACTGCAAGTTTACGTGAGGCCGTGTGTACGATTAAAACACAACAAAATCTGAGGAGATTCATTTCCCAGCAATAATTCTCGAAAGCAAAACCGGAAAGTGAGTATCGAGTTATTGGGGGTGTACAATGTACGTTAAATATGCATGTATGTTTAATATATATACATATCGATGTACATCTTATTAAACTTTTCATTTAATTTTACAAAGTTACATTTAATTTTACTTTCTCACCTTTATATCTTTATCACGATGTAATGAAGAGTAGATATTTTGGACATTTATTTATAAACAATATTTGAAGAATTACTTGAAGCATTTTAATTTAATGCATTTAGGCGTTCTTTATTCAATTTTTTTGTCAATTTGAGAGAACACACAATAAACATTCTTGCAAATTATATTTGAGAGAGAGAGAGAGAGAATAAAAATATTTTTTAAATAAAACATTTACAAATTGATAAAATAGACTATAATAAAATATATTGAAAACTATCTTCTTGTTTTGGAAAAAAATTAAATTACTTATTATATTTATTTCATATAATCATATTTATTTCTATATATTATTAATTTAACAGTTTGTCGTACTTAACTGTGAATTTCGTTTTTAGTTATGCATAATTAATTTCCGGACGCGTATGGTTATTTTTGCTTATTACTTAATGGAGAAATAAAAAAGGAGAATTTCTTATATATTTTAAAGTCGGTCGTAAGGATTGTAATTGTTTTATCGAAACATTTTTCCGTATTGATATATTTCGCAAGGATTTTTTGGTGTACTTTTTTATTTCTGCATCACGATATGAGATAGATAGTAGTGGTGAGTGAAAAGGCAACTTAAATGAACTCTCAATTGTTACAGGCGAAATGTTGCACCGTGACATCACTGATTTTGCATCGCGACGTGAAAAACTCGTTTCGCCAATTACGCCACGCGGACGTTGCGCTTCCTCGTACGCCTTGTTTGCGTTCGTTTATATGCGTGTGATTTGAGATGCGGGCACGTGCGCTCGCGCGTACACGCGTGGAAGTTGGAACGCGCCGTATCCTGTTCCGCGGGGCGCGCTACAACGCGCGTCACGCTCGTCACAATGGTGCTAATCTATTTAATCTGACTAACAACAAACTTATCTCGTGACTCACTCGTTGCGATGGATTCGCGCGCCATTACTCCGATCGCTTCCATACGCGCGCTCTGTGTTAGGTGCGAATGTCGATAAATTTTTCCGATAGATCAATGGCTGGCTATTTTGTACGCTCGTGGAAATATTCCTTCCTTCAATGGGATTCGCTCTCGCCTTGACCGTACGTGACGTCGTTAATCTCAGGTCAGAACGTTATCATAATGATAACGAGTATGTGTCTGTTTCCTTATCTATACTGATACTTTTGAGGTTTGAATTTTATTCTTTTAAACACCTGAGCGAGTTGGTTAATTTTATGTTATTTTTCACATTTTTATGTTATGTGTTATAATAAAAATTTTTTCTAAACAGCGTAATGTTGAATAAATAGCTTTTTCATTTCAGAATCTTAGAAAATTAAAAGATAAATATTGATAATTGCTAATGTAATAATTGCTAGTGTAAATTTTTTTTCTATATTTTGCAGAATAATTACAATATACAGATTTTATAAGGAATCTTCAAAGAGAGATAAAACATGACTTGTAATTAGACTAAATTTAATTGAATACTAAATATTATATTTTTTCTGATGAACGACTAAAAATTGATATTTGCATTTGTATACCGAAAAAAAATATAAGCGTATAATGTATTTATAATAGTAAAGCATGATATGTCGATAATGAAAGAATGGAAAAGTTCTGCATATAGTTCTTTAAATTCCGAGATTACATCGGAGACCGTTATCAGTCGTAGAGAAGCAGCTTTATGCGTCAAAGGCTTAAGTACGTCATAAAGAATTAAATTGATAAGCTAGAGGAAGACGCAGGGGAAATGCGGGGAAGGTAAGGTAATTTTTAGAGATAAGAAAAGAAACGGAGGCAGACGCATTATATATACGTTTCATATCAAAATATATTTGTGCATAGACAAGAAGACAACCGTGACAGGTAATTTCGTACCCTAAAGTCGTACGTCAGTCATACACCAAGGCACACGCGCGTTTTCTCTCTTTCTCTCTCGCATTCACACTAATTGCACGCGGTCGCACGTCTTGGCTTGTAAATAATTAAATCATTCGCGCAAGTATACGTTATACGTGCAATCATGATGAACGCACGGTGCACGCCGGCTGCTGTTGACTGTCGTACACATCAGATTCGCGTACGAGTTGGCATCGTGAAGATGAAGCCACGGTTCATGCGACTGCATGCTTGTATAAAACATTCATGTATGATTCTCTGACTCTTCCGCTTCACGCTTGATTATCGGTCTCACTCTCGACGCTAATAAAATATGCAATTACAACAATTTGTCTCTCCCGACGCATTCGCGCACGCGATGTCACATATACATACGTACAAAACATCATACGGCTCTCACGCACGCATGCACGCACGTATACAATCCGCTCGACTATTCCCCAGTCTCTTTCCGGCCGTTTCTCTCTCACATTCTCTCTCTCCCTCTTTCTCAGCTTTTCTTTTAACAAAATATATTAGCTTTTTATGTACATACATCTCGAATATAATAATAAAATTAATTAGTACTATAATACAAGAGCGTGGATAAAGTGCTCGGCTGTGTTGCTTGGGCGCTTCGTCGAATATAACGAGCGCGGAAGCGAATACGTATCGAGAGAAGATGGATATCGACTTGTCTCATTGTTGCACGATTATTGATGCGAGCCACGTTGATATAGATCCCCGTGTTTCGATATGACTTTTTTTTTTAGGTACTTGGTAATTAGAGAATGATAGCCTAAGTTCATTAATTTAACATTATCTAAAAACCGCATCTAAATACAACGCCGTGTATACGTGTACTTTCGCATTGGAGATGTGTTAGGTGTGTGTTCTGTTTATGTGTGTAGTACGAAACATAATATACAACTAAAGTGAGGATTCTCTTGCGTGAATCACATCGAGATACGATTTGTTCGAGATGTCGGAGCTAGCCTTCGTATTACGATTATTTTGCCCATCAATAACATTGAAAATCGATGGATCGCTCAGTCTTACTTATATTTAGCTCATAAATGTCAATTACAGGTTAAATAGAAGAATGATAATCCTTACAGAAATTTAGATTAACTACTTATTTTATTAAGTATTAAGAGCAACCCTTTTACTCCAAATATACGGTAATTGTGCTTTTAATACTCGAAATAAGTCATTTTCAGCACTAAATGAAATTTCTATAAAGGGGAGAAGTAAGACACTAAGAAAAAAATAATAACACGAGCGACGAAGAAAAATTAGATTGCCTTTCTCGTGTCCTTCGTCGACTCTAAGCGTCTATATCTGGAGAGATAGCGCAATACGACGGCTTGCTGGCGGTTCACGCGATTGATTCTTCACGATTTACTCTTTTATTTATTGGTATTCGCCTCCCTTTCGCTAAATGTCCGAATAGCATTCTGAAGCGAAGGGATGCACGTCCCGCGGGCAAAGCCACTTCTAACGAAATGCGAAGTTCTTGGGTGAACCACGCCGACCGCGTTTTTCAGTCATCGAAAGCATAGAATAGCTCGCTCTTCTCGCTCGCCCTCCTATCTCGCGCGACTCGCCAATCCCCTCTTCCTCCATGTTCGCGTCTTCGCGGATCTCAAACGACGACGCACGTGTGTTCGCATCGAGCACTCTGAGCCGAGTGAGAGATACAAAGGACGACGCAGAAGATGAAAGGAGAAGGCAAAAGATAGATGAGGGGGGAGGGATGGAGGAGGAAAGACGATTTCTCCTCGGAGATGCACGCGATATACAGCGATACTACGGGACCGGGGGGAGAAAGAAGCAAGAGGAAGCGGAAGATGCGGACTGACTTCGTTTCACAATCGGAGCAGCCTGATAGCCCAGGGACGCGAGTCGACGACGATGTCGTCGGAAGACGACGTCATCTCGAATTGCATGGCAATGTCCGTGCACTGCTGCTGCTGCTGCTACATAGGTCCAACCGCGTGCTGCTGAAACTGGTCGAGGTGCCTGGAGATCTCGCGGTGCAGTTGCTCGGGTACGACGCCGACAGAGCTGAAGAGCGACCTGAGTACATTGAGCTCCTCGTTGAGCAGCTCGATCCGTTTCTTCAGCAAATCGTTATCTTTCACCAGCAGCTTGACCTTCTCCTCGGTTTCACGCGATCGCACCTTCGCCTTCTCGCGGCTCTTCCTCACGGCGATGTTATTTCTCTCCCGCCGTCGCCTGTACTCGTCGCTTGCCTTGTCGATAGCCTTGGTTTGTTTTCTGGCGACGTTCGCAGCATTGGTGTGATGCTGATGGGCCATTACCGGCCCCTTCATGGGGCCACCCCGCGGCGGCTGCTGATGAACCCCCCCTGGCGCACCTGGATGACCGCCCGGTATCGTCGACGGCGTCAAGGTGGTGAAGGTCTGGCCACCATTGGCGAACGGGTTATTCGTCACCGGGCTGTAACCAGTGGGTGGATACTGAGGGCAGTGACGTCTGTAGTCCGCCGGGTCCAACGGTTCTTCCTTGATGCTAGGCGACTCTGAACTTGAGCTGTTGCTGTCGCTGCAGCTGTTGCTGCTCTGGTGATAGGTCGCTCCGCTGTGCACCGGTTGCGGCATGTAGGCGAGCGTCGTGCGGGGATAACCGCCCGTCCTCACATGTTTCATAGCGTTGTTGTTGGGACCGAGTATATCCAGTATATTATCGCTGAATTGATTGTCGTCGATCAAGTTTTGAAGATCCAGCGAAATTTCGGGAGCGTTGAGATCAGTAAGCTCGCCAGCAGCGGCGCAATGCTCGGCGTATTGCTGATGTAAGCTCGCCTTGCTGCCGGAGACCTGTTTCACCACCGCGCTATTTTGCTGCTGATGGTTGTGGTTGTGATTGTGGTTGATCTGCAGCGCGGAATTGTTGTTGTTCGCCGCATTGTTATTGTTCTGATTGCTGGTATTGTTGTTGAGCACCTGGGACTTCTTCAAATCAGCCGTGCCCTGGGCCTGGGCCTGATGGGCCGTCGAATCGTACATGACTGGTGACTCCATCGCTCACTCGCACATCACAGATGGGAATCCTCGACGCGACTTCACCGCGACCACCTGTATGTACGCAGAAACGTCCTTGCGTCCGCCTCAGTTCTACTTGGTTAGTTAGACTCTCCCTCTCCTTCGGCCGTCGTAGCACGTACTACGTCGTCCAAGACGAGCCGGTAGGAGATGAGGAGAGTATTTATTACTTTCCGGTGAGTATTTATCGCCGTCACGCCGTCACCGCCGCGCCACGCCGTGGACAACAAACAACAAACGGATCTCGTTTTCCTCGAAAGCGCGCGCGTCCCGGTTTTTGACACTGTTCCAAATACTTACTTAATGATCCCCGGATTATATATTCCGAGATTTCGAGGACGACGGTAACACGTTCCCGTCTTGATGACGTAGTCTGCTCCGCGTCAACGCGCGTTCGTTCAGTTAGTCTTGTATACTACTACGCGATTTACTGACGCCTACGCGCACAGCCGTACATTCCTGTGTACGCTCTCGTAGCCTCTCGCACTCTCGGTATACACACGGAAGGACCGCTACGTAGGAGCTCGAGGGATACGGGAACTCAATCAGCGACAACAACAAACTCACTTGAGAGTTGGCGCGCAACTGAGCGCCGTAGCGGCATGTCGCAAGCTTTCAATGTGGATTGTGGCTTGTGGCACACGCCGCACGCCGCGACTAGCTCCGAGCCTCAATGCGCTTGCGCCCGCGACGTTGCGCTCTTCCCTCCGCTCGTTCCGCTCCGTGCTTTACCTCCTCTCGCGAACGGTCCTCTCTCGGAGGGACCGACGCGGACTCGGAGCGTCCACCGCGCTCCTCCCCTCCCCTCCCCTCCTCCCCCGTCCCGTCCCGTCCCGCGGCGTTCGCTCACGAGTACGCTACACGAGCTGCCTTCCACTTCCCCCCGCTCCTTGTCCTCCTCTGCGGGCCCCATTTTCCTTCTCTCTCTCTCTCTCTCCTCCCATTTCCATCCTTTTCCCACATTTCCCTTTCTGTTTCCGATGGCATTTCGGCCGTCTTTTTTTTCGTTCCCCTTCGCCCCTCCACATCTTTCACATCGTATCTTTTTTTCTCTCTTTTCTTCGTTTTTTTTTTCGCCATTCCTCACGCTCTAGCACACCACGGCCCTATCACGGCTCCGGCGCGACGGAAAAAGTTTTCCGGCGTTTGATTCTCTCGATGCTGTTCGCGCCACGCCGCACATGCGTATACGAAAGGTACTTTTATTCGCGACAGATGCATGGATTTTCCCGCTCGGGCAATTATCCAGATAGCAACGTGTCTAACTTGTTGCTGGCATGTTGCTTGCAAATAAGTATGTGCTGCTACCAGAATTGCAACAGTCTGCATCTATTGGCAGATTATGCCCTCAATATGACATAATTTTGGGTAACGGTTTATCAGCAATTTGCCAATAATTTTAAAATCATCATCCAAATTCGTGCTGTTGCCATAATAATCTATAAGGTCATACAATACTGTGTCATATTGCCGGCAACGCGAAGTAACTTTAATGCTGCTATCTTGCCGTTAAATTACTGACAATACATGTAATATCGTACATTGTTACGTGTTGCTACAATGTCGATATATTCGTTGAAGATAAATATACTGCAAATTACCAGCATCATAAGCAATCGCAGATTCGCGCAATTTTGCTGTGAGACACGCTTGGTCTGGACAGCTTTCGTAGTTATTAGGTAGGTCATTGAGTTGTCAATTACTGCATGAATTGTTTGAATTGACAATAATCGCATTTAAATTAGCTATTAATACCGAATATCAGACCATCATATACATTTAATTGTCATTCATTAATTTCCGTCAATATATTACAATTAATATTTCATAATTGTTTATATTTAATGCAGTTTGTTCATATTTAATGCATCATGCGTCGCGCGACTGTACATGCCACGTGGTGCTAATCACGACGGTCGATATTTATTTTTGAGAACTATTATACACCCGACAGAGAGAAGAAAGTGTCATCGTTTACATCATATTGCGCAATCGGTGGTAATTAATGCAGAATTTCTCTGCCATTTGTGCTACCTTGTCGAGATTTTTAGAGATTTTAAGAGACGATTTTCGTTATATTGTTTTAGTTGCTTAAAATATATCTGAACAAAAAAGACACACACACAAATGTTTTAACACTTAAATAACACAGTAATAAAGTGATAAATGATGTTATTCGTAAAGTTTTAATCAAGATTTATGATGAACCATTAATGTTTAACATTAAATTACATCAGGAACGATGTGATTTTAATTTCTCCATTTTCTGAAGCTGTTTTTATTATTTTAGAATGTTATTTCCCTATTTATGTCTCAACGTTGATTGCAGCTTATCATTTCGTCATAGTTTAAAAATGTTTTATCCTCGCTTTTTTCCTGAAATTCTCCGGAACTTTACAGATTTTTGAAATGTTCATCCTCTTCCGGTGTCTTCGGACCATAGATCACTCTAGCCAGATTGCTTGTAATCTCTGGAGGATAATTTTTACAAGAACAACGGGAACACACAACCGGTGGACTTTTCCACGCGAGATGTATCGCGATCGAACCAGACAAACAGTTCTCCCGTCGCGTCCTCACGAATAGACGAATCATTATGTTACGTCATGTTTTGATTGTTTATCTGCGCGCATTTTTTTATCTTAACATCGTACAGCGTAGTTACGCGTGCGTTGATCTATAAGCCAACGCACGCTGACGTACATTAATCGATCAAATTGAACGACGAGTTTCTGCATATCAGCGATATATTCTTATCACTATCAAAGCGCAGAAAAAAAAAACTAGACGCGACGATTTTTGCGCGCGATCGATACTAAGATTAGATCGTGTTAATTAACATCCCTTCACGGGTCACTAATTAAACGCTTTACGTGCTCTAATTCATGTTGATAAGTGTATGTGTGTGTCAGCATATGTATTACATAATAACGGGTTACGAAACGGGAATCAGAGATCTGTAAACAGTACGCGTTATTTTTTATCCATCCCTCTCTTTTTGATTCTATTATTTTATGTTGACTAATTTTTTTTTCCTTCTGAATGAAAATAATTTTGTAAGTAAAACCTCTTTTTTTTAACACAAAGTAGTACTAAATTATTTTATTTCCAATAAATTATTGGTATTTTTAATTATCAATAATATTTTAGAAAAAAACATATATATATATCTATTACTTCGTGTTATATATGTATATATACCGTCCATAAATTATAACTTTCTATAGACAAAGTCATAATTTGTTTTACTGACATTAAAATGACATTAAAATCATTAAAATTTATTAATTTAACATTTTAATAATTTCCGCAAATTTGTAAGATCAAAGAGAACAAATATAGATTTAGCGTAGATCATCAGTCTTCTGTTTTTCGGAAACAGTCCTCGAATTTTTATGTGCTAAGTTTCGTTCAGAATCTTCACGAGTGCATTGGGAACTTCTACTCCGAATAGAAATTTTTCCAACTATTCTCTAGGTTGTACAAAACTAACATACCAGTTGTGCTCAGAAATATCGAGTACAGTCATTTAAGTTATTATAATACCCTAGGCTTTTTCAACTTCTGAATTTTCAGAAGTTAAGAGAGTAATCCGCCTCGCTATTTTGGCGCGAAGAGAAACAGCTATACATAAGATGGAACAAATTGAATTTACCGTGGCATCTCTTATTAATTCCATTGTGGGACGTCGAGCGACACATCATAAAGGATCGGTAAACCATCGTGTGTATTTAGAGTTCAGGGGATGCTGGAGTGATCAAATTGTCGACTGCGAGAATGCAGATCGATAAAAATCTCCAAATTTACTGTGAACGGAATAAAAATCCTTCGATAAAAATCTTCGAAAAGAATGTGACACCGGATATCCGATATCCGGTAGAACAATCATGGCCCCCACAGACATAACTCAGTATAACGTTTGTCGCGCGGCAGAAGTTAGCACAGTAGCCAATCATTCTTTCGCTTTTATAGAAAAGCGATAAAATGATTGGCCCTCGCGCCAATTTCCGTCGTTGCTGCGTTCTGTCTGCAGGAGCCACTAATTCGAAGCCGAATTTCGGATATCTTCCCGGATATTCGGTACAAATTCCTTAAAATTCTAAAAAAAAAGGAAAGCAAGGGAAAAATAGCGATAATAATTTTCTTTATCTCTTCAAAGTAAAAAGATAAAGATAAAAAGTAAACTGTACAAGTTCTGCAAATATAAAATTTTAGCTGGGGATATAAGATCGGTAAATATTACAATGATATTCGGTGCATCCTTACATTCATATAATTTTAACGTTCGGAATCATATTAAGAAATTGAAGAAATCAGTACGAAATGTTTACCGACCGATTAAAAATTGATTTTCGTAATAAGCGTAATGCGAGCGGATGAGTCGCGCCATCTGGCAGCTCGCTTGCGAGCGACTTCAGTCGGTACTGCATACGCGAGACGGGAGTACGAGACCGATCACCGGCGGAAAGGCTCGACTTGAGCCGAATTTTCTCGCCGTGATATTAGCCACAACAAAAAATTGGTGGTGATCGCGCAAAAAGTTTTTGGCGCTACGTATTTTTCGCGTTCTACCTACGGCAAGCAACAGCAAGGTGCTCGTCAGCCACGTCGTCGCCTCGTCCAGGATTCGGCGGCCCGTCGACGGCGCGAAGTAAGGAATTGCGTGCACGCCGTTACTCGCGGAACTCGGTTAATTCGGTATCGCGCGTTCGATCCCGCCTGGCCGTGTTTGCGGACCGTGTTGTGTCGGACTCGTGTGCGCCTCTTGACGGCAGACGGCTCGACGGACGCATGCACGCGTTGCGATGTTGTTACGAGAACGGATCTACGCGAATGTCCCGATGTCCCGATATATCCATCACAGCCGTGCATGCTAATTTGGTGGTCGTGAGATGATATGCTCAGCTTCGCATGAGTGATTTGGTCGACTCCGCGTCCCTGCGTCTCACTGAGCGGTGTTCAATCGCTCGCTGTGGCATCCTTTAATTTAACCTACAAAGAATCTTCGCGTGAGAACTCGCGAACATATTTTTCCGAATTTCGTTCTCTCGTCGAAACTTAACATTCGTCGTGACGCAGTTGATATAGGTCTCTCGCGTATGTCGCTGTACATTTTTTATTTACCTCCGATTTACCTCCGTGATGTCGAACGTGTGATCTCTTTATTCTTAAAGCCTGTATCATAGAGATTGAGATTGACTAACAAAAAGAAGAAAAAAAACAAATATCAAGCTTGATGAATTTTAGTTTAATCAGTTCAATCTCAGGCCAGTATTCAGTCGAGTCTTATGTTTGAAACTTTTAAGTACAGTGTAATAAACCAGGAGGGTTGTATTAGTATATCTTAAGACATTACTTAAGAATGTCTTAAAATAAGAACGAATTATGAATATTGTCCTCAGTCTCAATTTCAATCTCTAGTCTGGAGGCTTATTTATATCTCGTTCTTGAAATGAGGTAAAAACTGAAAGTTTTACAAAACTGAATGAATTTACTCGATGTTAATCAATGAACTATGAGGTTCTAAATAAATATTCTAATAAATTTGCACTCTTGTAATTTTTATTTTATTTCAAGAACCGTAACAGGTCCCTGATATAAGATTTAGGCCTGTTATTTTTAGCTGAATTATTTGCATTTTTTTCATTTTTTTCTCCAACTTGGAAAAAAAAGAGAAAAAATGTAGGAACTGTGCAAGAAGTTCAGCTGCAAAGATCTTATTTTGTTCTTATTATTTTACTTTGTTTAAGTCCTATCTCATATGAATGCATGAATGCCCTTAGGCAGTTCTGCACTAGGATTTTATAACTCTTAATGACTGTATCTGTATTGTTATATTGTTGCATAGCTTTTTTTTTTTACTATGTACGTGTAATATCTGCATGATGATAATATAATGATACCGACGCTGCTGTACAAAGTTACAGAATTCTAGGGCTGATTTATTTGTCTAATTGACTGATGTTTCGTTGTAATGTTGCTTGCAGACTGCACAATCACACAAGAGTTATAGGGAAATTCCAGCATTCACAATGGCAGGAGAGCAGCAACAGTTTTTTCTCAAATGGAATGACTTCCAATCAAACATGGTGTCATCGTTCAAACATCTGCGAGATGAGAAAAGCTTCACGGATGTGACATTGGCTTGCGATGGTCAGACTTGTAAAGCACATAAAATGGTCTTATCCGCCTGTAGTCCTTACTTCAAATCTTTATTAGAGGTACATTGGCAATATTATTCTACTATTACTTTACATTGTCATTCTAACATTACTATTATCACTATTATCTACTAGCTAATATCATTAGTGATTGATAGACTTTGCAACTAAATAAATTTTCTCTTTATATATAGGAAAATCCGTCCAAACATCCAATTATAATTCTAAAGGACGTTGCGTACAGTCATCTACAAGCTATCCTAGAATTCATGTATGCAGGTGAAGTAAATGTCTCGCAAGATCAGCTACCAGCATTTCTCAAAACAGCAGACCGGCTTAAAGTTAAAGGACTAGCTGAAGCTCCCGGTGCCATTAAGAGAGAAGGTTAAAAATACACACGTAAAATATGGTATGCTTAAAAATTTTATTTATTTGGTTTTAGAAATGATACTTACAAATGTTTATATAAATTTCCCGTGTTCAAATTTCTAAATATTATTTTATTGCAAAATTTCCTTTATAATTATGTATGTATTCGTTAATTTAATTTCTTATTAAGGTATTTATATCTTTGATAAAAGAAAAAAGAAATCTCTCACTTAATATATAGATGCTATAATATTTTTTTAAGTAATATTGATTTCGGAGTTTATATGTCGCACGAGAGTTCATTGTTCGGTTATTGATTGTACAAATCTATTTATATTCTTGGAGTGAATAATATATATACGAATTTGATTGCAGTCGCGCGCTCATTAAATTCGTGTATATGTTATCATACGCATTGGACGTAAATAATGAGCTAAAATTCTATAAATACAATGCCACAATATCATTTTTTATGCATGTTGTGAGGTTTGTTTGTAACTATGCTTGAAAATGTAAATGGGGCAAAAATATGAATTTTGATTTGCAGGTATTTGAAAAGTGTGTGGACTGAAAAAAACTGTAATAATGTAAAGTGATTGAGTAAAACACGTACCACACAACATAAACACACAACACAACATACATTATAAATATATAGAGACATATGTAAAAAAAATTTAAACACTGCGTGTGCACAACTCGGTGTCCTACGGTTCATGACTTGGATCAACACGCGGTGATGATGTAAAATAATGCCTTTTTCTTATTCTCAGTTAATGTTAACTGGTTGTATTGATAGTATGTACACATACATGCAAGTAGAGAAAAAATGTTGATGTTTGTCTTGAACCCATTACGCCATATTGGCAATAATAACAACACATTGATTATTTTTTTAAAAATGAATCATCGCGAATCAATGGGTCGCGATAGTTTACAATGCATACTGACCGGGGCAATCTTGGTGGATCAAGTTGGAAATGTTGACAACACCTGTTACAATACCTGTTTTTCAAGCCGATCTACCTGACTCGTAGCACTCTCCTATCGATTCTATTTGGTAGATCTATTCACGAAGTAGCGTTATCTTATATTACCATAATTATTTCTGTTATTTATTTTTGTCGCGCGTTAGCTATTACTTAATTTATCTGCGAAATATTGAAAATATTGGAGCCTGATTTTTTAAATCTATATTGTTTCTGTTGTTCGTTTGTGCAAATTATTATAGAGATGGTTATGGAGATCGATCCCATAGGGCATTAACAATCTTATATCACACTAAATTATGTATAAATACTAATTAAATAATGACAAATGAAAGTATTTTATTGGCATCCATATATAGAGAAATTTTGCTCCTATCGTGGATAGATTTGCGAAACCCCCGGCAAATCATTTAAAGAATATCAAATCAGGTTTACTGGAAGTAGTAACGTGCGCGTTTAAATAATTCTCTTTTGTCAGTTTTGAGATATTAAAATACTGTTCTTTTGCGTTCGTGTGAAATGTAAAAAAAAAAGTTACAAAATATGAAAGAAATTGTAATATCATAATTAATCTCCGTACAAGTTACCTCTTCTAGTGATCATGATTTTTACTTAACCAAATACTGCCAGTGTTTGTACCGGCGTATTCACAATATTACCGATATAGACCAAATTTATTTATGATAATAATATATTAAGGGTTGAATGTCTTAAATTGAGGGAAGGTTATTGTAATATAAGCGAAGTAAATTTTTGTAAAGTCGGAGCGCACAGTTCCTTTTCCCTCCCGAACAACCAGGACGCTCGGAAAAGTCTAGAAAGGCAATCAGGAAACATTATCGAATCATGGACATAAAAATCAATTTGTTATAGAGGATGTCGTGTTTTTTCTTGTCTGTAATCAAGTATTTTAACATTATTCGAATTTCACTATTTCATTACTTTTAAATTTATGATAATGCTGTATAAGTTTTCGTCAATTGCGTTTACCGCTAATTCGCTCATATTTCCTGACTTTTCTGTCTCTTTTAATTATACATTGAGAAAAAAATTCTCTAGCGTTTCGTGAGTTTTCCTTGCGAGTTTATTGTCCTTGTGCCTAATATGAATTTACTCCAACCTTCACGTGAATTATATACCGAATTAGCACGAGTGAAGTTTTATGGACACTGAATGCCGATTTATAATTGTACACATTCACGTATCGAAATGTCAGTCATACACGTCATACACCGCAGAATGTTACGAATCATAACGCATCATTTCCTGTCGATTTTGCTTCGGATGTTTCTGTGAATTACACAAGAGACCGCTCTGATCGAATTTACGATTGTAAGAATGGTCCATCCAAAAAGAACTCGTCGTTCGTAAGAATGCTTTGAACTATTCCATGCGATAAAGTCGAATGGAATTTGACTTTGTATCAAAGTATATGGCTTCCATATAAATTTTGGCGATGTCTGACGATAACAAGTTCTGATAATTAACGGGACCATTCTCGTGCAAGCGGCATTAAAGTGAAATTTGCGATGTAAGACATAATAATAATTATGTTTGTCATCTTCTCGGAATAAGGATTCAATTATTTGAGCTTTTTCAAGCATTGGAAGACTTCATCATCTTTCGTAATTATCCGATAACAATATCGTATAATAGATATTCAATATTCTCTCAATCTCATGAGGGAATACAACGAATTGTCTCCCTCCGATTTTAATAAATTTTATGTATGTTAAAATATAGACAAAAATAAGATTAAAAAAATATGTATTTGTTTAAATACTTTCTTACATGTTAAAGGAGAGAACATTTCAAAGAAGAGTTTTATCTTTTTAGGGAGATTCTCTCTCTCTCTCTCTCTCTCTCTCTCTCTCTCTCTCTAAAATCGTTTATTTTAGTGTGTATCGACCTTACATAAATCGTGTAAGTCCCACTGAATCGGTAAAGCAGACGTCTCGTTGGAGTTCGATCTTCAGTTAAAGATCTCCTTTTGTACACACTTTAACATATCAAAATTTAATAAAATCGGAAAAGGATACTTGATTGTATTCCTTTGTCAATATTTAAGGCAGTGTTAAAAGCGTCGAAATGGATGGGTTCAGTTCCTACAATGATATTGTTTGCCGGGCATTTGGTGGCTAAATGTGAATAATAATACCATGTACATTTGCTATGCTGTAAATTTGGAATACAATTATTGTAGAATAGCAAATCTCATATACAAGTGAACGTTCGCGCGCTAAATTCACGATTATATCGTATAGCCTTTTCCCTTATGTTTCTCGCTCCATCTCCGACTTCCATATATTGCACTTTTCACATTCACAACTCGAAATTCTTCAAATCGATTCGTTTGCACAAGTTATCGGGATGAATCTCTCTTCCCTCTCTCCCTCTCTTCCTTTCTTCTGTCCTTTCTCCATTTTGTTATTCCTGCTGTTCTAACCGAAATTCAAAATCCTTATTAACGTTACTTTTGCTATTATATGACTCGATAATGATTATGATATGATGTTGAGATATAAAATAAATTGTGTAAATATGCCATTTTCTGGCATAATTATCTTTATTCCTCCTTCTTGCATATTCCTTTTTGTAGATTTTATTCCTAAATTTTTCTTAAAATATTTTAGCGTGTTAATTGCTATCATATGAATAAACATTGCGTACGAAGTATATATCGCAAAATTATATTTTTTATTGTATATTATACATAATTTTTTTTGCATGAAACATACTGCACAATACATTTGTAGTCATATAAGCAGTGTGATATAGAGTATAAAAATATGTATACGTGATCAATTTACACTTAAAAAAGTTGAGTAATATATTTATACAAGATATATATTATATGAGGTAGTAGCAATCAGAGGATGTTTTTGATTTCCTGACTTTTTTGTTATCACAAACGCGTCGAGTAGAAATAATTAATGCTACTGTGGTGTATTCACTTTGTCTCAGCTTATTTTCCAGTATTTCATTTTCGATTATTTTTTAGGTGGATCTATGGAAAAAAATGTTGAAAATGTAGTGTTAAAAATGATAGATTCAGTAATAAATATTACTTCATTCTTACGTGGTGTTGTGAAATTGAAGACCGGGTATCTTGGTGCAAAAGGCTCGTTGGCACCATGTACGTAATTTGACTCATCTTCATCTTTGATACTATCCGCTCTTTGCATACATTCTTCATATGATGGCGGTGCTAGATAAAGATAATAGTTTTTTAAAAATTATATCTTTTAACATGTCTGTGCTAGGCGAATTTTAAGTAACTTGACCATCATAGTATTTTTGTTTGCGTTTGTCATATTTGTTAAATATTTCATAGAGTTACAAAAATTATAAAAATGATTATAAAGAAGATATCAATATTGCATCATTTGATATAATTACAATATGTATCTACAATTATATATCAACAATTATTTTATAATTATGTTTTTATAGCCAAAATAAACAATTTGAATGAAAAGTCCAGCGTGGATCACTAGTACATAGAACATGTTAAAAGAGATCTTACATGCAGATCAAATTGCTATAATAAATCTTGAAAAATTATATTTTTATTTCTTAATTCTATAACAAAAATGTTGTCACAGAAAAATATTTTCTCTCTGGCCTTGATTCTAATTGAATAAAGCAGTAAAATGAAAATAATATTCAATTGTACGATACGAAGGCTGATATATATTTTCAAGATTTAATATTAAATTTTCAAAATAATTGTTTACAAAGAAAAACATCACTCACGTATGTCCCATGGGTTAGTCGACGTGCTGGGTTGATTTGGCGAGGCAAAACTTATCACTTGAGGATAAGGCGTATTTGGTGGTACGTAGTCTGGAGACGTCGGCATCGGCGGCGGTGGGTCATAATCGTATTGCATTACAGGAGCTGTGGGCTGCTGCACGGTTTGTGTATAAGACGCAGATGAAATAGTAGAGTGTAATGGAATTGTTCCGATCAAGATCGGATAAACTTTGGTAATGCTGCAATGCCTGCAATATAGCGGAAATTGAATTGATTTCTTAACAAAATCATTAATCAGTATAATTTAATTTCGATTTTCTATTTTCGTACATTGCGGGACATTTGTTGTAAACAATTACAAAAAAATTCCTAAAAATTTTAAGAATTGATTAAAAAAATAAACTATTGATTATAACATACGTACAATCGTACAAATTAAATTGCTTTTGATTTTATGCTTTGAGAAAATGTACACATACGTTCCAGAGACATGGATGGTAATGCGCAAAGAATATTTCTGATCTATTATACTGCAGTATTCCAGATGGGATGGCGGTATTGGCGGAACCTGTAATCGTGATGGAATATCAGCTTGTTCGCCGAATGGTCCCATTCTTTGCTCAGCTTTTAAAATCGCTTTATCTGTCTTGGTCATACTATACGGTGTTCTCGCATGGAATTCCAAGGACTTTACAAATAGAAAAAAGGGTTACAATTACTATATTGATTGAAATTAATTTGATACGCTAGTTACGTAGTGTTATACCCACTCGTTCCAATTTAACACAGATCTTTGTTACATTGACACTGCTGGTGTTATTGAGGTTGACCATAGTTTCTATCGATTGTCCCGGAACGAACCCTGTTGTCGGTATTCTGATGCGTAGCTTCATCGAACCCAAGTTGAAACAGCAGAAACAACAAAAACTTTCACTCACTTCATCATCTGCGCCGATCTAATAAAAAACAGATTGTTCGATTTTGGTAACGTCATCGTGCAGTATCTTTATTTTCGAGTTCGACATTACTTTTGTGTAAAATAGAGGCAAAAAAATCTTTGTGTAGCGATGTTACTTACACATTGATGACTGTGAGCGTTCAAATCATAAGATAAGACCACGGTAAACGCAATTTTACTCTCATGATCAAATCTCCAGGGTCGGTCAATAACAGCCTTCATCGTATATCTGATGTGACCGTTTATATGTTCGAAACTGCATGGTATATTATAGGGTAATGAGAAATTAAATGAGTATCTATGAAACCCCGCTGGCACCCGTACTTCCCCATTGCCTGAAATTTAGAATGTTTCGAAAAACTTATGAAATCGGTTCCACTGATTGAGCAATCATTTTATTATTTTGTTATAATATTCTTTTATAAGTTTATTATAACTTCAGGTGGCTCTACTTAATTCTAATAGATTAATCTTGTGAGTGTTACCTGCTGTACTTCCTAATAAGTAATAAGTCAAGTTAAAATACTGTTCGCTTGCTCGGAAATGATCAATCTGGGTGCGATTGCGTCCTTGGGAATCCTTGGTCGACCTTTTTCTCTCCCAGCTAACATTAGCTTCTCCCTTAATCGACAATTTCAGCGCTGGAATCAAAGAAATATCGATATTCTTATATTTTCCTTATTTTTATATACATATATATTTTTTTATATAAAATTTTTATTCAAATATAAAATATCAAAAAGTAGTACATTTCAATCTCTTTTTATCCCTATTATTTTTTCTCATAAATATTAATTTTATTTCTATTATTTTTTCTCATAAATATTATTAAACAAAATTTTGAATTATTGTTATGTTTTACAATGATCATCATTGATTATCCATTCTCCCTTTTATATGTAATATTTGAAAAAGAAAGATAATTAAAAATTAATTTTAATAGATTAAATAATTCTTGAAAATTTAGGGGACATGATATAATGGCTTGGAATATATACGTACATATTTGTATTCCTCTTTAAAAAAAATTTTTGACTAGAATAAAAGAAAAGTTCTACTAATTTTTTACGCAGATTACATGAGATATATAGGAAAGACTTGCGCATTAGCAAGAATAATGCATTATAACACACCTCACACAAAGTTCAATGTCATTTGGAACGTATCAATAATACTGGCAAACATGTAATATATTGATGCGTTGCGTAACTACATTACAGCTGATACACAAAAATAATCGCGAAACAGTTGAAGCCGGCGTTTCGTACATTGTTGCTCCGGAGTAAGTCGATCCTTTTCGGCGATCTAAATTCGTTAGTAATTGAATTAAATCGAATAGCAGCTACGTGAAAATCGCTTGTTGATAATTTTTAGACTTACAACTTTGAAAACGTAGATTGTGAAATGCATGTTCAAGTGAAATTGCAAGGTATTCCAAAATGCGTGGATGAGAGTTTTATAAAATAATTTATATATATGTATATATAATCCGTTTAATTGTAAGTGACCATATTTAAACCCTTATTATTTTATAAATTATTGCTTGCAATAAAAATTTATTTTTTTACTTAACAAAAATTTACGAATAACTTTTTTACACCTTGTATATTCTGGTGTATATTTCAACATTATTCATCAAGTAATGTACGATGCGTTTTAATAACTTCGTTTATAAAGCGCACACGAGAGCGAGATAATTTCAGTGCGTTTTTGTTTGCTTACTGTCAGGATATCGTTTCTGATAACACGAATCGATATAACTAGACCGTATATCCATTTCTTTTGTTCGCGGTTAGCATTAAATAAGTAGGTTTTATTTAATTAATCTATTTCTTTAATAAATAAATAAAGTGGTTGAGTGTCTGCAGAAGAGAAATTTCATTATTGCTGTTTTAATATTGAAGCACAGAAGCTAGAAAACATGAGCGTTCGTGTTACGTTTCGCCCATGTGGTCTCAACGTTGATGTCGAATGTCATGTTGAATGTTTGATAATGACATTTTTATAGCGGGGACTTCATGATCAGTGACAGAACCCCATATAAAAATTTACGCAGGGACAAGTAGCACATTTGAATAACCAACGAAAAAAAATCATCTTTTGTTATAAGAATAAAAAATATCAACGGTGTACATCGTATAGATCATAGGTATATCGTGGATAATATCGACGTAGAAACTATTTCTATGCGAATATGTATTGCAATTAGTACTTTTTGTTTAGAACAATTATTCATTTATATATTTCTATCCTTTTTTCCTTTTTTATCAACTCACAAGATTTTGAAGTTCTTAAATTCGTTTTTCTTAAGACGCTAATTAATATTCGTATTCGAAGAATTCTTCGATTGAACTCGTCGATTTCTTCTATTTTTTCTATTCAGAATTCAGAATAATATTAAAATCTTCGTTTATCACGAGCGATCGAAATGATGTACTTTTCCAAGAAGTAGTAAGTACCCAATTCACATACGGTCCTGATTTCGCACCGTACGCGTTTTTACGCACACACACACATACACCCACGCGTGCATACACATTACACTGTCGAATGCGCTCGCCGACGCAGCCGACTCTCTTGTCGGTGCGGCGCCGATGGCATTAGAGACGCGCCGCGCGATCGCTCGATACTGCGAGCCTCGTGCGCTCGTGCCTCGTGCCGCGCTTGGCAGTCACGTACCGGACGTTTATTTACCTCGGATTGTCTTCTCTCTGGCCAGGTCAACGATGACGTCGCCGGTAACGATTTCACCAGGTGCGTAAGTAGCGCCCGGTCGGTCGAACTCGATGCGAAAGGTCCTCAACGACGGCATTGGAGAATGCGCCGAGATCTC